CACCTTTTTTTTTTTTTTTCCTGGTCTGTGTTGCATGCACTCTGTTCAAAAGTTAGGTCTGAAATGGCTGGCACAAGGGAAAAGCTGATCTGTGTCATTAGTTTCTCGGAGCAGGATGGCTCTGAGCAACCTTGCTCCCTATTTGTACTATTTGAACTTTGCAAATCTCTGTTCTTTCAAGCAGAACCCCCAGACTGGATCCATTCTTGACCAGTGACCTGCTCGAATCTGGCCTTTTGTATGTGAAATGATCACGGTTTCTTTTGTTTATCATGCCATATGCAAATCAAGCAAGAGCTCTTTCTCAAGAGTAAGGAATGCAAACAAGAAATATGTGTGAGATGAAAAGTTGTCAATTGGATTTTCTCCCTAAAAAAAACCCAAAAAACCAAAACTGCTAGAAGTCACCCTGAGTCCACTCGCTTGGATTTCTGACACAGTTTACAGATAATGCAAAGGCCCTGTTTCTATTTTCCCCTTATGGCTGCATTCACCTTAGGATTGTAAATGTGTATATGTCCGTGAAAACATAGAGTCTGAGATTATGTTATTTACGTTGTCCTAAATTTGAGTCAGTTTTAGACTCTAAAGCATTTTAGCACATGTCAAAGTTAACTTTTAAAAATTGCGGGACTATTTCAGAATCGCAATTTTATCTAAGATTAAATCAGACTTTTTTGTCTGAGTGGTAATTATATATTTATTATTTAGCAAAACTGAAAAAAAACCCACAGAATTGTTTTGACAGATGTATCTCGTTTTCAGCTAGCATTTCTCCACAACTTGAACCGTTTAAATGTGTTTTGGAGTTCCCTGCCTAATTAGCTTATTTTTTAGATCATCTGCAATTGATTTGCAAATTACGATAAAACACATTTTAGAGGAAAGAACCTTCCTCAATTATAGCTTTTTTGTTTCTTTTTTAAATGTATATATTTTGACTAATGTTTGTGAATGAAGTTGGCTAACATGTATTTAGTTTCATTTTGGCTTTATGTAATATAAAGTTTTAAAAAGTTTAAGTATTGGTTTTAACCTTCATGTGTAAATGGTTTTCTTGTGTGATCTTCTAATTTAATATTAGACGTCTAAACTATATCTGTAAATTAGAATCCGACTATCACTCTGTTCATTTTTTTTGAACAAAGAGTTAAATAAAGCCTGAACCAGGGAAAAGAGAAAATCCTCTATTTCTTGTTGAGTTCCTAACAAGATTTTTATCTGAATTGCCCTTACGTGCCTGGTCCAGGTGAAGTGTAAGGTATCCTCCAAAGGCAGCCTTTGTTTCACTTTTGAATAGATTTACTAGGAAATCTAAATCAAGCCATTGTTATTCAGAGCCAAAAACCTGATTTATCACATTTTTTAATCGTGAATAGGAAAGAAGATAAAAAAAAAAACCAAGTAGTTGTATTATCTTGGGGGGAAAAAAAAGGCATTCATGAACCAGTAGAACAGAGCCCATTGAAAACATCCAGACCGTTCAAAGCATTTCACTAGTTTCCAGTAACATTTTAAGAGGGGAAAGTTGCCTGACCACTTTATCTTGCTAGTAGAAGAGCCCCACCACTAAAATCAGTGTAATTTGTTCACGCATCTTTGGCATATTCCTTATTTACACCTTAAGATTTTATTTAGAAGAAGAATCACTGCTAACAACAATGTACAACTTTTGGCCTCTTTAGGACTTTATTTTGTCATGCTAATAGCATTAAAATAGAAATATAACAAATTCTAATGGAGAGGATTGAATCTCTAGGGCTAGACAAGTTTCCACTAGAAAAAGGCTTGAAGTCATAAAGGATTTTAATTTTAGGAAGGAAATTAGAAGCCACCACTAAGAATATCAGAGGAAAAAAATTAACTGTAGGGAAATCTTTCTTTCCCCCCACCCAGTTAGAAATTCTGAAGATACAAGACTCAGCTAGTCCTAAACTTGTTCCCCATTGACAGAGACCATATCTTGAGTGCACGTCTTTATAAGCAACACAACTCTTTAAAGTCATTGTTTTCCCCCAACGGAATCATATTTTAAAAACCATGAAAATTTTGGAAATGTGAGAAATAGGCTCTGCTGGTTTGACCCTGATTCACTAATTAAAACGATCCTTCTCCTGTTATTCCCCACGCTCTTTGCAATATTATAAGTTAATTCATATGGTTCTAAGCGATTATGCAAAACTAATTTGGACTGTCCAGGGGTAATTATCCCTGACACGGTTAATTAAATCCTTTCAAGCCTTCGTCTTTGCCTTTTGTAGCAGCCCATCACTTCTCAACACGGAACTTCCTGCGGCTCGCTGGAAATCGCCCCAGCCCTAAATCTTAGTTACCTCCCCGAGCCTTCCAGCTCGGCCCCACTGGCCCCAAGATTCCCCGCCCCCTCCCGCCCCCTCCTCTTTTCCCAAAGATCAGCGTTTTCTGGGAGCAAAGCTCTGGAGTGTTGATGAATGAGAAGGAGACTAGAGAGATGGGGAAGAGGAGGGGTAGGATGCCGGGGGTGAGCACACAGGGTCACTTCGCCAACAGATTGTGCGGCTGTTTGAGTAAGTCCACAGGCCCACAGGGGGGTGACTGGTTTATCACCCCTGACTCGAGTGGTCTTGCTAACCGGTTGCTCCTGGAAAAGGCAAGAGTGTGCCTAAGTAAGGGGGAGCGACTCTGGGGCAAGACGGCGTGGAAAGGGCCAGGTGTGTTTTTAGAGCCTGAAAGTGACCCACAAATACAGCGCTGGGACTAAACCTTGGGGTGCTGCAGGCTCGAAATCTAGTTCTACCTCTCTGTCTCTATACATCTCTCTTCCTCCCTCCCTCCCGTCCTTCCTCCCTCCCCTTCCTCTCCATTTCTTCTTTTTGTTCTTCTTTCATTTTCGCTCTTTTTAAGGTTTAAAAAACTCCACAACATTTCTTAGGGAGTCACGGTTGCCTAAGGGCTTTAAGCCAGCCTCACTTCCGAGGGGCCAGGCGTGTTGCCTCCCGGCTTTGCGCCAACAGGTGGAATTGTTCTGTTTGAGCAATAAGGATCGGAGCTGGGAGACGCAGTGGGGAGAGGGATGGCTTCCAGAGTTGGCCGCTGTTGTCACTTCATTTGACAATTCCCACCCTCCCCTTCAAAAAACTATAACAAAACAGTGCGGATCTCCCTCTCACCCCCGGCTCGGGGCTGCCTCGGCTCCGGACGCCGAAGATGGAGAGAGGATTCGACCGTCTTCCTGGAGCAGATAGGGACCGGCGCGCCAGCCAATCAGAGCGCGGCTCGGCGCGGGCGCTCCCCGCCGCTGCAGCCGCCGCCGCCGCACCCTCCGGGCGAGTGAAGTTCCTTGCAACTCGCCCGCCCGAGTGTCCGTGTCTTTCTCGCGCCCACAGCCCAGGGGAGACAGAGAGAGCGCGGTCCAAACTTTATTAATCTCTCCCGGTTCTTTCTCCCTCAGCCTAGTGTATCTCAAAGGTCAGCCCTCTTCTTTTAAAAGACTGATATTATTAATTCACTGACAATCCCCTCCATTCCTTTTTATTCTCTTGCAGGAAAAAAAAGGGGGGGGGAGAGTAGTGAAAAGAGCTTTTTTTTAATCTTTTTTTTTTTTTTTTGTCCTTCAGTGGGAGCGTTTAGACAGTCGAGGAGGTTTTGTCAGGGAACAAAACGCAGGGTTGGGAGGTTTTGTGAGAGTGTTGTTTGTTGAAGTGGAGCTAAGAAAAAGCGGCGGCTTTCTCCTCATTGTGAAGAAACCAATCAGTGGTATTTGGAAAACTGTTAGCATTGTGCACTTCTTCTGTGTCCATTGTGAGGCGTTTCTTTTCACAAGGTTTTTTTTTCAGCCGATCCAGCTGGCCGGAATGAATAGCAGTGCAATGTGTACACGCTTTGTCCCTCCGGCCTTCAAGTAGCCCCCATTGAATAGACTAAGTTGACACTGCGTGACAGTGAAACAACATAATAAAAAATACATGAGCCCCTGAATAGGAGCAGGCGCATAAATAAATAAAATGGGTGACCAAAACTGGATAAACTGAATGACAAAACGGTGAAAGGGGAACAAAAAGATATTTAACACGCTAGATTAGCATTAGAATGCGATCTACAAGGCAGAACAATTGATGAATAGGTTTACCGGCCAAGAAAGAAATGGACTAAATGCCCTTTGAATAGATATGCTTTTTGCAAGGGCTTTGAATAGATATGCTTTTTGCAAAGGCTGAATGGGAAAAGGTAAAGATGAAGCTATGCAAATGAGCGGGGGAACTTTTTATATATATTCTTGAAACACACACACACACCGCGGGAGAAGAGTGCAGCCTCGGGATGTTTATAGAAGCAATAATTGCCATTATTAGCATTGTCTGCAGCAGATAGACATTGAACAGTTTGGGATAATATAGGGTAGCAGTAATTCTTCTAATTATTGGTCGTTTGCTACTTGAAAAAAGAAAAAAGGAAAGGAGAAGTAAAAGTTATGCAGAAGTTATGTTTTCTTGGGTCCATGTGCCCAGCATTGGAATCTGTGGAGCTGCAAGGCTGGCGCTTCCAAGAGGCATTTTTATCTTAAAACATTGCAGAAAGCCAATCCTTAGGCCGTTTTTTTAGAGTCTAATACAGTGTCTGGTACATGCTAGGGGCTGAATGAATACTTGTGGAGTGAATGAATATAAATTTAATGAGGGAAGCTAGGTCTCCTATGGATGTTGAAAAGGGGGAATACCAAGACCGGCTTTTCAATGTCCTCTATTCTAAGGGAGCGGCACAGGTGAGACCATCCCGGGGTTTTGCCTTCAGCCTACCTGGGCCGCTGCATAAAGAAATGAAGACCAAACAAGCGATGAGCAACTCCTCCCCCCCCCCAATACCATCTCTGTCCTCAGTCCCAATCCACCCTAAAGCCAGAGCTTGTGAAGAGCCCCACCTGGCTGCATAGA